AAGCGTATATATCCAAGGCCAAACACGAACTGCCTCGATGATTTAACCATCCGCGTTGAGACGTTGATTGTTATCTTCAATGTCAATCAACTTATTCTCAAATTTAAGAAGATAGAATTTGTCAATAGAAACGAGATACCGAGAATTGACGCGAAATATGATAAAACCACTTATATGAGCATACGTCAATAGTACTTTTATCACAAGAAAGTCATAAAAATAATATGAACTTCATGAAATAAAATTAGATATTCATTTAGTCATTTAGAAGAAGAAGTGACCATATTACACCAATGGTGCGAAATGTAGCTATGATATACCCGTATGAACTATGAAATAACAACACCAACGTTTTTCACATGTTTTTTTACGATAGATGACTTTGGGATAATCGTTCAGCTCTCGAGACTAAAAAAACCATACGCAAGTCAATAGCAAAAATCTTGGTATGTTGTATTTCGATTTGCAAAACGATGGAAACATAGTGTACATACTAGTAGCAGTAGAGCTCCTTATGAAAAGGTTCGTCCAGGGAAGTCCGGTTTCGAAGGGTAAGGGTGCTGGTGAAATTACAGGCGCATTGGACTTATCAACTTAGTGACAGGTGCAATGGCAATGCCCATAAGTTTTTTGCTATTTAAAGTTCTGAGTGGTACTGCAATTGTTAGGGATAAGCGTGTCGCTTACCGCCGAGCATACGGCTTGTTCGTCCTGTCACTTGGTATTATAAAAAAAAACACTAAGGTATTAGGCAAACTGCAAACTTCTAGAAGTTTTTTGCCAGTCCATGCAACCCACGGACCAAGAGTTTCCATTCCGAAGAGTTTTAATAAGTTGATAAGGTCGAAGTCCAGATGTTTCTTTATTTTTATTTTCTCCGCCAGCTCAGCCCTTATGCTAGTGTTTTAGAGATGAGACGGAGCCAATTTATCAACGTATCTGGCCTTCTGCGTTAAAATTAAAAATATAATTATAATTAATAATATTCAATTAAATTTCATTATCTGCCTGTTCTGTTTTAGATATATAGTAAAATGCTTTTTACATTTTTTGCTGCATGGTCGGTGCATGTATCATTGGTTTTTGGTGTAAAAATTTTAAGTGGAATTTCTATATATATGTAATAGTGTATAATTGTGGTGAGTGAGGTGCTTTCTTAATTTTCTTTCTTTCTATATTTAATTAAAAACTGCATACTTCGGTGTCTACAGCGACGAACATACTTCACTTGTATTTCTACATTATATTATACAAGGTGGAGCCTGAAAACTTTTTTTAAGAAATTGCAGAGGCTATTAAATTACCGTTTCTTCAACAGAGTCATTTATTTTAAGCCACTATTTTAAGTTTTTATGTATCGTTGTAGTGTCGAAGAAGTGTCTTTTCATTTATCTATTTTATTTAATGAACAACACATACTAAATGGAATTAGGGTCCTGCCATCTGGGCTGGGCACGTCTCCTTTTTGGCACGACGTCTAATATCGTCAACGACCATATGCCATGAAAAGCGACCGCGGCGCGTAGGCATCTGAAAACTTCGTGGTAACTCAACACTTACATCATTGCCATAGACACACCGACGTGGAGAGTAAACTGACACATCAAGGCATGAAAACAGCTGCTACGACAATAATCTCGGTGCTCTCTAGAAGGTTCAGGTAAGTTAAGAGGAATATGTATTTCGCAAGTGCCGGTTTCAATCGGTCACGGTCCAATATGACACATTTTATCGCACAGTGCCATCGTAACTCCTTTGAATTTTGGGTCGTAATATGGATTTTGGTTGGGACAGACCCAATTCCAGACGCGTCGTCTCGCAGTTGATGAAAACTTTAGGATACTGCCTTCGTAAGCGTCAACTTCGTGGTTGACAAACAGAAAAACTCGAAAGGTTAATTAAGGTGATTCGGTACGCTCAGAAGACACACAGACAGATCTGATTAAAAATTCGTCTGAACATCAAAAAATATAAAAAACGCTTTTGCAGTTGCCAATTAACAATGTTCGCTTAATAAAACAACTTTTGTAGGATGTTTAGATCCTTTTTCGACAACCGCAGTGGTCGTGGTACTAATTAATTCATGAGTGCCAAAGTCACATGGTGTATTATTTACAGTCAGTCAGATTAGTAAATAGAGACCCGCAGGATCAATAAAATTTGTACTCCTGAATAGCAGAGGTCAAATCTATTTAACCCTAAAGCGCGAGTGGATACCTAAGTATCACTAGATTGAGTGTTCGTAAAAAACAGTAAAAAGGCCTATATCTCATAGGCTTTATTACTTGACGATTGTGGGTCAATGCACTTGGTTTCACGATTTCTGGTATTACTGAGATTTGGAAGAATGGCCGTGATTACGGTGTTTTGTCCTGCCGCCTCCCAAGTAGAGGCCATGGGTTCGAAGTCATGCTCGCACCTCTGAGTTTTTCGAAATTTATATGCGAAATTTAATTTGAAATTTACCATAAAATTTCGGTGAAGGAAAACATAATGACGAAACCTGCACGTCTAAGAAGATTCCTCGGAAAACCTGTGAAATCCCCAGACTGCATTGGGCCAGATTAAACCCTCGCCTGAGAGGAGACCCGTGCCCAGCGGTGGGCTGGTTGATAATGATGATAATTTTGGTGAAGCATATGCTTTAGCGTCACTGCTTCGATAAATTTTCCGTAAATAAAAATTATTTTCCTTGACGGCAGTCATTAGACTTGGGCCAGTGCCGGTCCATATATTTATTACCAAATATTAACAGCCATTGTCACATAAAATAACATAGTAAGAAGACAAATATGCTCTCAACCTTTTCTAATAATCTCAACTCATTTAAAAATAATCTAAAATCTACGTTTACGTTTTAGAAACATTTTCTGAATACATTCATTACACGACAATAATAAATGATATGAATGATAACAACATTAAATTCACGTCATGTCCAACATCGATGACCCTGACACTGACATCATGATGGTCGGCTCTGTGTTTATATGAAAATTTCCGGCGTAAGAGACATACTTGTAATTTGTACGCTCGTATCTAGGTAACTTCACGCGTTGTTCATTGTACGCTAAGTAAGTACCTACCTACCCGAGAGATAGGGTTTACCGGTGAGACTACGGGTTCGACGGCAAGACCAGGGTTCAGCGGGCGCCTGGACCAAGACCTCCGCCAGTGATACGTCTTTGCGGGCCTTTCTGGGGGACCCGGACTTGGGTATGGACGCACTGGGGTTTGTGGTTAGCTGCAGAGACGGACATGTTTGTCTGCGCCGGTTGGATGTGGCCGGGGCGTCTTTCTTGTGAGCAGCTAACGCGTCTTAGTAGCGATCTACTCCGCCACCAATGGGGAGATTTGGTAGTGGACTCAGATTCGACAGCTTAGCGGTGGCAACAGCTAGGTGTGCAATGCGCAATGGGAAGTGTGCGTGCCTACAGCTCTGGTACATATTTGATAAATAGGGAGGGTACTGTACGTGCATCCGGGATGGCTCTTCCGAGGCACTAGCCTCTCGAAGAACCGGATGAAGTCAAGTGACAGAGGTCTGTGACAACCCTGTACACTGGCTGATCTGGGGCCAGAAACTGAACTTTTAAGGTTCCTGTGCGCGCACAGGTTATGGTGCAAAAATATCGAGTACATTTTGATGTAAAACTATAAACCAATAGTCCCATTTTTACTTGTAGTAGAACATACAAATCTACCATTGGTAGAATAAAGCCACATGTTATAAATTACGTATAAATGAAAATTTAGTAGTAATTTTGCAGATTACACTAACAATTTTATGACACCATTATAGCAAATCGCAACAGTCGCAAACTGGGGCCCGTCCATACAAGGTAATGCACAAAACTAAAATTTCAAATTGTGGGTATTTAAATAAATGTATATATATTAGCTTAGTCATAATAAAGTATCACATCACGTGTAAAAATATTGAGTCGCTAACTAATGTTAGTTGTGAAATGCATCAGCTCAAAGTTTGCTCTTTAAGCTAAATAATAATTATTCCGTAACGTATGTACGTGATTTTACGTGCAATCTTTGGACATTTATTTTTTATGTTTGATATTAAAATCAATTTAAATGCTTTATACTTATGACGAAGCATGGTGTGTTGAGTCTCCTGATATAATTATTATTTCATATATTTATCTGATATACGGCTAATTATTTGTAGTTTTTTTTGTCGTGAAATCTTTAAATTATATTAAAAATGTTGGCGACTCAATGTATCTTGCTGCATCACTGATACAATGCATTTAAATCGATTTTAATATCAATGTAAGAAATAAACGTCTAAAGATTGGACATAAAGTCACGTACGTTACGGAATAATTATTATTTAGCGCAAAGAGCAAACTTTGACCTGATACACTTCACAAGTGACTTTAGTTAGCGACTCAGTATTTTTACGCGTGATGTCATACTTTATTACGACTACGCTAATATATTACATTTTTTTAAATGCCCATGTTTTGAAAATTGAGTTTTGAGCGTTACCATGTGTGGACGGGCTCCACTGTGAGTCGCTGCAAGTATTTTTATATTTGACATAGTCTTTTTAAATCTGTTTAGATTTATATTTAAATTCTAAAAAGAAATGCACTCGTCTTTAGCGCCTTTTCTAAAATTTATTTGCTATCATATGATGCTCGTACGCATTACGAGTATTTTCTCGTTTCCACATTTACTACATATAAATAAATTGTATGTACATTTTCTTTAGGTACATCACTAACTAGTTTTGTTGTAAATGTAAACCATTAATAACGAAATATGAATATATTGTTTTCTAACTACACTTACATAAAAAAATTATTTAAAATATTAAATGTAATTTTGAATCTTTAAATGAAACCTGTTCCTTTTGTTGATAGAAATTTTCTGTTTAATAGTGTGTATAAGTGGAAATAAAACCATTTTGTTGTACCATTTTACGTATTATATTCTATTCTTATTTTTTTCATTTCACATTATAACGGTATATTATCATATTATTCTTTTAAATATCCAAGCTTAAAAAAAGTATCAATCAAACCAATAACTCTGTTGCTAAACCTTTTCAGAGTAGCCTCGTCCAACAAAGTCATTTTGGTAGATTCCATGATTTCCTCCATTGGTTTGTTATCATCCATTGCTTCTTTAAATTTACCTGCGTCTTTACTTTCTCTTATTAACATCGATGCCATCATAATTGACTGTCCGAGACTAAATTTTGAATATCTTTTAAAGTCTTCATCGAGTTGATTTCTAGGATATGTTGATTCTGTCTTGAGACCATAGTAATTCAAATATCGTTCTAACTCGGAATGATAATAATTTATCCAATCATGAAAGTGCTTGGAACGTGTATCGAAGTCGGTGCAGTTGAAGATCATGTACGTAAGATCTGCTACTGGACTGCTTTCTTTCGATATTTGGTAGTCGATCAAACAGCAATCAATCGATTTATCACCCTGGAACAGAAAAGTTGGTTAATTGAATAAATAAGAAATAAATTCTTGATTGTTAGCGGATATTTATTTTCCAGTAAGATACGGCATTAAAATATACAATTGACATTGTTGAAAACAAACCTCAATGCTACACAAATATGTATTAAAGTTACGGTAGGTACGGTAGGTAAGAGGTAGGTATTAAGGTATTAAGCACTAAATACCTATATAATACCTATGAAGTATGATATACAATACACAAATGCTTGTTGCAATGATATACAATTATTATGAAGGCGGTGTTGACAGCTATCACGGAAGCATTCCTATCGTATACTAAGTCCATACACAGAGATAAGATTCTAATTACCACAGATTCACACATGGTTAAATGTAATTTGAGGAGTAAATGTATGCCAATAGCATATGAAGCTCCGAAACTGATATACGCTTTAAGTATTAAAAATCGGACTACTATTTTGCAATGGATTCCATCCCACGTAGGCGTGTGAGGTAAAGTCGCTAACGTGGCTATATGTCTATCTGATGGCGTGAACATGATTTGTAAACCGCTTACTATCAAACATTCCTCTAACTAGATATATTTGTCTAAATGTTTAGGATACAGATTACGCGGAAATTTCACTAGCAAGAAGTATTTGGTACAGGTCGATGCAACCGCGGCCTCCTCGACAGCCTTGGTTTGATAGTGCGGTTCTCTCTAGAGAAACTCGTGTTTCAGCGTTTAGAATTAGATATGATCACATTCCACTAAATGAGTTTTATGAACATTTAACTGCCTCTGCCGAACGATTATCATTCTGGACTGCCAAGCATAGGTCCCGGATTCAATTCAAGGTCCGGGAGAAATATTTGTATGGCCTACATTTATTTCTCTCGTGAGTTTGGGTGTAATTTGTGGTTGTCTATGTGTCCATGGCACCTGCTATACAGGGTTTCCCTAGGGCGGGGCTATGAGTGTTTGCGTGTGTGTTTTATATAAACTCGTCACTCATTTCGAGTTAGGAATTTATATGTACCTATCAAAACAACAAACATTATTAATCATACATTAAGAAACATTTTTTGTGAACTGAAGATACAACGTTATTTTGTATTTTGCTTAATTTGTTATTATATAGTGTATGTATATGTAAGTGAGCATGTTTTTGTACGTCTTGATGTAATTATGTTAGTTTTTAAGTTTTTGCTCCATTATATTATATTTTTACTGAAATTAGACTGAACTCTTTCGCCGCAGATAAAGCCGGAAAGGCTTTAGTGAGCGAAGCTTGTAATTAGTAAATAAGCTTTTTTCTGTAATTTAGTCAATAAACCAAAAAAAGATATTATTTTGAAAAGGAAGCACTGACCTCCAATTTGAATAAAATATTGTTCGTCCAAGGATCGCCTTGTTGGATAACTGAATAGCTTTTGCCTTTATCAATTTTCGACAAAGCCGATACTTCTTTCATCAAGTCGCTCATTACTTGATCAATTATATCGATATATTTCTCGTCATCCACTGCATTTATTATATCTGTACTAAAGCCTTTCATAAATTTGTCCATTTCCGGGACATTACCCATTAGTTCCCATATGTTAATTAGCTTTTTAGCAAAGATTTCAAACGTTTCGGGTTCTAAATTCTTTAAGGCGTACGATGAGGCATGTAATTTTGCAAAGTTTTTAAGAACAAGCTTAATACTGTCATCTTTCAGTGAAGTCAATCTGTCAAGCATGACGAAATCTGATAATGTTAAGTCTTCTAGGAGAATGATTTCATGTGGTGCTTCCAAATAACTTCCGTATAATTTGGCATATTTGAGTCTTTCTTCGACTGCAATGTTAGCATCCTTTTCCAATTGAGTAAATTTTGGTAGTACTTCAGAGTACATCATATTCTCATTGGAAAAACAAATTGCTGTATTCATAGTTTGTCGAGGTATTTCCTGAGTAGGAGCTATTTTGGCAATAATTTTAAATATTTTGCCATCTTTCTCGACGACAAGTTTTTTCACGTTGGCAACATAGTTGTCACCTGGTTTGCCAACAGCCTCTATTACCACTTTCCCTTTTTTAACACCCAGTTCTTCCAAAACATTCTTAACAAATTCTTGTTGTTTCTCACTAAGTGCGTTTACTTCACCTTCGAAAGTGTAGTCAACCATTTTGATGCCGACAGTTCGCAATCTTTTTAATGTCAATTTCTGTAACACTCATACAGTAAATTTCACTTCCAATGATATAAAATCAACTACCGCATATATTGTTAAGGTCATATCATTTACGTCTAAGTGAGTTTATAACTACCGTTACTATAGCAGATAATACTTGGGACACTTTAACGTATCACCAAATAGAAAAAAAAATAAGTAGGGAAGTAGCTAAAAAAGAACAAAACATTGGAACTTGAAATGATAAAATTGTGATCAAAAATTTTAAATAAATTTCATTTATTGTTTTACTGTAGTAATAATAATATTAAAAAATTCCACTTTAATAACAATTTAGACTACTAATTTACTACTTTATTGTATATTTCAACAATAATACTGAATACACAAGAAATAGTAGGGACTCAATCATTGAACGAAGTGTCGACTAAAATTGTTTGACCTTGCGTGGTTACTTTTTTGGTAGCGTTTTTGTAAGAGAACAAGCAAAACTCAGAGAAACATTGTAAAACTCAAACACTGTGAAACTTATCTATATAATAATATTTTCAATGTCAGCAACTAATACAAAGCTTTAATAGTTTGGATTGGTCGTCCCACTGATTTTTAAAGACACTTTGAAATTAATTTTTATTGAAATTATAAGTTGTGGAAATAATTATTCGTATTTAATTAATTGGATCTATTCTTGAAGTTCTGCCTATGATTTTATAGCACATCGTAAAATTTACGTTTTAAAATTTATCACTGATTTGATCTCAACACTGCAAACAGGCAAGTGTATGTGTCCAAGGCTAAGCACGAACTGCCGTCTGCGTTGAGGCGTTTATTTTTACACTGATCGTTATTCGATTACAATGGATGTTGTAATCGAATAACGTCCTAATCAACTTCTAAAATCTAGCAGATAGAATTTTGACAATCGAATTTTATTCTGATAGCGAGAATTGCCGCGAAAATTTAAAATGGTGTGGTATCCCTGTACGAACTAGGCAATAACAATTTTGATCATTGTAAAATTATTATTCTTCACTTACGTGTAGTACATCAATTCAAGTGACTTAAAAAAGGTTATACTCTTTGACCATTACGACATGTAGGTATGTGTAAGACAGTAAATAGTAATTTACCACCTGTGTGTCAAAGCAGGTATTAATTGTTTTATACTTAGCCATTTTGTACAACGTTTTTACGATAAATGACTTTGTGATCATCGTTCAAATTTTTATTGACATTGGAATTGATCTGGAACTAAGTATCATCAATTTAGAGGTTTCCACAAAGTTCCTTTTATTTCGAATAATTTTATGTAGAGGAGTGTCTCCTACTTTATTATTGAAATTAGTGTACTTTTATATAAATTACCAAATTTCCGGTATATATTCCAGTATGCATACTATATATTTTTACATGTACTTTGCTAAAGTACGATGGATAAGACGTATTTTGTTTGAGCTAGACTTAATTCTACGCACGTCATCTCGCAGTTATTTGGCGAAAACTTTAGGATACTGCCTACGAGGTTAACAGACAGAATGACTGGAAAGTAAAAGTGGATACGTTTACACTTCTGACCCACCATGTCTGGTGATGAGGTGGATTGCGGCCAGAAACGGTAAATAAGTTGGAGGTAGTAAATGGAGTGCAATACGGCTTTCCAATCGGTATCTATAAAAGTAAGTACAATGTGGAAATTCGATGCTACGAATAACTGTCAAGTAGTACACGAAGTTGAGGACAAAGTAACAAAATATAGGATCCAGATTGCATGGTGGATGTCTGATTCAGGAAACTGCATAACTAAAATTTTTAATATTAAGTTTTATATAGAATCGTCGAATATACGTGCATCAAGAGGACAGCTTTCAATTTGTTGGCAAAATGGCTATAGGAAACTTAATTTTTTGAAAAAATAATTGTCGTGTTGAGAAGTTTGTTGGTTTTCATTTTCAGGCTAATGTAACTAAAACCGCTTATGTTTGGGTTCCAGATCAGAGAGGGGACAGTGTGTATCAAAATAAATTTTGATTTTTTTCCATTCCGCGTCCATCTTGTGGCTTCTTGAGCTACGAAATAAACATGTATTAGGGAATCGTTGAATAAAAACGGCCCAGGACACCGTTATATAACTTAGGAAAGGTCTGTGTTGGACAGTACATTGTAATTATAATTATTATTGCTTATATAATTATTGCTGATGTATTCGAAATCGAAAAGTCGAAAAATAAAATAAAAATAAAATATGTCGCTGCTATGTTACTTAAGTGCCTGAACGAAAAAAATAGCATAACGTTTATAAAAAGTTTTGAACATATTCAAAATCATCAGGTGATAGTTTCTGGCTAAATTAGAGTTTGGATTCTAATTTACTGCAAAGTCCATCCGCGCTAGCTAAAATTATGCAAAATAAATAAACAGTTTATTCATTTCAATACTACCAAATTCACCAGAATATAGATAAAAGTAACATACCTCATAAATGACAATGGCGTGTTTATAAATACCCAAACTCAATAAAACTATCGACAAGTTCTTCTAATCGTGCCTTGAATTTCTTTATCGTTACAGAATCTAAAGTTGATAGTTTTGTTTGTACAGTCATTTCATACTTATATATATTAGGATGCACGTTATTCATCATTTCCTTAACTTCAGTCGCATCTCCTGTCTCTTTGAATACTAATGCAGCCAATACAATAGCATGCCCAAGAGCGAACTTGGCACATATTTTTAAATCCACTTTGAGTTGATATTTAGGATAAATTTCATCGGTTTTTAGTTCGAATTTCGCCAATCTTTTACCCAATTGCAAGTAATAATAATCGATCCAGTCATAGAAATGTGTTGCTCTCGTAGCATGATCGGTGCAATTGAAAATCATGAAATGAAGATCAGCGACGGGACTACTCTGTTTAGATAGTTGATAGTCGATCATACAACACTCCACTGCTCTGTCATCCTAAAATTTATAAAGTATTAATTTTTCAAGTTAAGATTCGTATTCAGCGTCTTTGTAGAATTATTAAACATTATAATAAAACAAAAATTCGTTTGTACTTATGTAATGGCATGTAATGATTAGTCAGTCGTAGTAAATTTTCAATGAAATTATAATTTCTTCTACTGCACAGTCTTACCTCAATTCTGAACATAATGTTGTTCGTCCACGAATCTCCTTGCTGAATTACGGAGAATTTCGAGCTGGAATACATTTTGTCCAGTTCCGATGCACGCGAAATCATTTGAGCCGTTGCGTTTTTAACCTCGTTCTTATATTTGTCGTCATCTATTAACGTTTGCACATCAGCGTCAAGCCTCTCAAAATAATCAACAATTTCAGGTACGTTAACCATGTATACCCATGTATTGACAAGTTTCTTACAAAAGTTTTCAAACGTCTCTGTTTCTTGGTATTTTAGAGCATATGACAAAGAATGTATTGTAGCAAAATTTTTAAGAACAAGTTTCACAGTTTCATCTGGCAATGGAGTGAACTTATCAAACATCTTGTATCCAGTTACTTCTAAATCTTCTAAAAGAATCATTTCATTAGGTGCTTCTAAGTATGTCCCATAACAAATTGCGTATCTTAGTCTTTCCTCCTCTGGAATATTTGCGGTTATTTCTAATTCAGAAAACTTAGGCAGCACTTCGGTATACATGACATGCTCGTTTTGAAAAAAGATCTCTGCATTTACAATAGCTCGTAATGTTTCGGTTTTTGGAGCCACTTTAGCAATTATCTTAAAGGTTTCACTATCTTTTTCTACTGTGATTCTTTTCACATTAGATGCAAAGTTGTCACCTTCTTTGCCCACTGGTTGTACTTCAATTTTTATATCTTTGAAGCCTTTCTCTTTAAGCACCTTAGCAATTAGTTCTCTTTGTTTAAAACTTAAGTCACTTATGTCACCGTCAAACTGAAATTCAGTCATTGTAAGTGTTGATAAGAAGTATATTGTGCTACTTCAACCAACAATTATTTTGATTAATATTGTTGTAAGCAGTGACTTATATGTAATACTCTTATCTTATGCTTTGATATGACATTATTATCTATGATAACTTACCACTGATAAGATAATGATACAAACAATAAATAAATAGAAATAAAATGTTTATAGAGGGTGTAAACGAATGCGCATTTGGATTGTAATGGGATGAGTCTACGCAAGATTTAAGGGAACTACGAATTTTAAAGGGAAAACTACACGAATGTGCACCGGATTTCAAGAAAAATTAAGCGGTTTTAAAAATGGCAAAACTCAAAGATGTAATTATCAAACCAGAACAAATATCAGCTCAGTTGTCTTGCCAATGAGTAAAAACCAGTTTTCCTCGTGCTATTTTGTAAAACTGAACACATGTTTTCAGCAAAATTTTATAAAATTATAGACTAGGATAAAACTGAGATAGATAAAAAAAATCAAACTTCCCCAAATCGCAACAAAGAATAATTAGTTTAAATAAGGAATATAGACACCACTCATCAAAGTTCCTGCAGGGCTTCGTGTGGAATAGACGCGTTTAGTTTGTGCATACATATTTATTATTAAAGATGTAATATGTATATACAATATATTAAAGATTACAAATAAAACATTTTATTATGAATTTTACTAATTTTATTCTAGAGGACATCTATCCTTGTTAGTATTTTCATCGCGTGGCGTCTATCCATATTATTATAGGGCGTCTATCCTCAAAACAATAGGTTTGCTAAAAGTTAATTTCTTCAAAATCAGTACATGTTAGATCAATAATATCAAGTCTCAATGTAATGTAAACGATTAAACTAGTTATATCCATAGGAATTATTCATGGTAAAGTGGTAAACCAATAATTTTTATATTAGGAGGCCCTTTGAAAAAGTGCGGCATCTAACCCGGTTTTACCCTACAAAAAAGTTTGAATAACCGAGTTGACCTTTATTTGCAGCTCTTACCCAAAGTGAAAATCAAGGAAATTAAATTAATCAAAATAATTATAAAGAAAGCTATAAACTCCGTTTTCTCAAGTCCTCTACAAACTTAATGAAAATACGTTAATTTGTGATGTTTATGGGACGTCTGAAAATGTATCTGATACTTCAAAGATTAATAACACCGGAGTGGGAATTTTGGTTACACAAATCCCGACTGCGCAAGTACTATGTTAGTGATGGTTTAAGGACAAAAATATAAAGATTTGTTGAAGATCATTTCATTATAAATCAGCAAGTACCTAATTTTATATCTTGATATTTTATTTACTCACTCAAGATAAGTGCTACTTGGTTATAATATCAGTTTCCGAGAATTTCCCCGTCGAAGTGAGGAGTGTTTCGAGCTGGAATTTATTTTAATTGAGATTCGAAGAACTCTGCGTGCTAATGCGAAATCTTTCTAGGTTTGAGCTAACAAGAACATTATAACTTTAACGAATAGTCTTGGAACTGACTGGCAGGCTTTACAACATGTAAGTTGTAAGCAGTTTTTGGGAAAAATAAAAAAGTTTGTTACTGAGATCAATCGAACTCAACTTGACTCACACTCACACACAATTCTAAAATTTAGTTGTAATTTTGACTGATACTGATAAAGACCATTCGCTTGCGATCACATTGTAGGGCATTTACCTACATGCATACTTGCACAATATACAGGGCGTCTCACGGTTATGGGACACGGAGGAAAAGTACTTTAAATATTGTTGATAGGCTGTTTTGCTTCATGGAGAAATTATTTTACTTTTAAAAGTAAGCACTGTTTTCAATGATTTTTTTGTACTCCTGTATTTCAATTTGTCAATTGTAATTTCATGAACTATATCACAAAGACGCACTTTTTAGTTCATCTCTTATTACGATTCAGTTTAGGACCAAAAATGAATCGTTGTGAGACAGCGCTACATGAAGTGTACATCAACATCCCACTTTTTTGTCGTTACGAACCTATACTGAACTGTAATAAGAGTTCATGGTAAGACCCCTAAACCAAAACTCTACTGTCTATGGTACTCGTTCCTGAAAAAAAACCTTCGAAAAAAAGATAGTATTTTCGCTAATTAAAAGGTCTCCTTAAACGCGTCATTGTATTCCTGAATAACGTCACTATATTTGTGAAATTATTAAAATTCTAAATTTTTTTTATTAAATACATAAAAGGTATAAAGGCGTAAGCATTTGGCAAAAAAGAACTATTTAAAAACAATATAAAATATAACGCAACGCAAACGTTCTACAGCCGCCTGATTGGTTAAAACACGAGCAGTACTTGGCCAATCACGGACACTTCTATTCTATCTCTTTGGTTTTTTGTTTGGCTTTTTGTTCGAGTTTTACTTTCTTAAAAAAATATAAATATTTAAATAGATCGCTTTATACATATATTTAGATAGACACAGGGACGGAGGTAGATGTCGTCGAGGAGGACGAACGCTTGCACATTTGAACTTACAATTAAATACTGATATAAAAAGTATCAGATAGTGCAACAAAACTTTAAAAGTAAATTTATGTTAAATTTATAATATTTTGTAAAAAGTAATGGACCTAAAGTTGTTTTTTTTTGTTGTTTCTGATGTTAGTAATGTAGTACTGAGAGATAGTTAGTATATTACAAATAACCATGTATAATTCATAATTCGTACTACCTTACTTAAAAAGAATAATAATTCTTGTAGTCCACTTTTAATTGGTATCATAAAAATACCGGACGTTTCTTTTTCACATTTGGTCACATTTCTTTCTCACGTTGGTCATTTTTCACATTTGGTGAGGCAAGAAACTTTTGAAATAAAATTATTATATATATCCATGAAGCAAAATTGATATTTAAAGTACTGAAAAGTTGTAGATGTGACATTATTACACCAAGGGTGTTAATTAACTCATTGCAAGCGGCATAAAGTATGAAAGTTTTTAAAAGCGCGAAAGTTTCAAATTTGCGGCACAATTACCCACATTATTTTGTTTTTAAAGCATAACGAATAATGTATGATTATATTAACTTCTTTTGTTATTTATTTAAATAAATTAATAATAAATAAATAACGTACACACTCATAGTGCGGAAAACCCTGTATCGCCGGTGCCATGGAGACACACATAGACAACCACAAATTACACTCAAAGTCACGAGAGAAATAAATGTAGGCAATACAAATATTTCTCCCGACCCGGTAATGGAACCCGGGACCTCTGCGTGGCAAACCAGGGTGGTAAACGTTCGGCTACAGACGCAATTAAATTAGTGTTATAACATTTATTATACTATTACACTGTGACTTATTTACTAGGTGCATTGATTTGTGAATTTAAATTTAATGCACGTCTATTTACGGGTAACACTTCATGCAGAAAAGGCAAAAGAAGTCTTTTTAATATTTTGTCTTTACATTATTATTATTAGTTATTTAACTACGTACGTCTATACAACACAATGCTATTTTATATTAATATTTTTCAAAAACACAGACAAATAATCTTCATGCATCCAAATATTCACTATATATATTATATAAGTTACAAATTTTTTATACAACTATCATGAAGTCAATATAGTCTGTATTAACACAAAACGTTAAAGCTAAAATAGCTAACTAACTACGGCTTTCATTTAGGACTGAATATGGTTCAAAATATTTAGAATCGTTCCTTATTCTCCAGCCAGAAAAGTCTAGTATTCCGTCTGACTAATTTAATATCTGCGTTTTAGTGATGTTATTCCGAAATAAGATGCTTGTCATTAAGAGGATTGCCGCAGGCGACAAGGTTGGCCCGCTAGGCATTTCATAGTTTGCCGGGCGGCGTCGTGGTGAATGTTCACTGATCCCACGGCGCCGACTCAACCGGCGAGAGGGAAACCCGGGGGGTTTTAGTGGGGTAGGCCCTCCAGACTGGAGGAAGAGTCCCCACATAACACCTGAGTCTCCCTGGGCTCAGGGGTATCCATAAAGATTTCCCCCCCGTCAAAAAAAAAAAAAAAAGTCATTTCATAGTTTGATATTTTTTCGAACAATTATGATAGATGGGTATTAATTTTCTTGTTAGGAATTCAATATTTCTTCTAGTCTTATTGTATTTTTTTGTTTGATAGTTTCCAGATTATCCAGTGGTGATGCAGCGTGTGCGGGACTCCACCGGCGGTCTCCTAATCACTACTCTGAAGAGGGTAGATTGCCCGATAGTAAGGCACTGGAATGCTTATTACATGCTTTTGATAGTCGCCTTATATAATATTAAATAATTAATTAAATTGCATCGTTACTAACATAATTATAATAAAGCGCAACACACAATAATGCAACACACTCATGGCCCCGCCCTAGGGAAACCCTGTATCACGGGTGCCACATAAACGACCACAAATTACATCCAAACTCACGAGACATAAATGTAGGCCACACATATATTTCCCGATCTGAGAATCGAACCTAAGACCTCTGCGTGGCACCCCAGTGTCCATATCCAGTAATTAATAAGACAGTAAAGCTAATAAAAATAATCTTTTATTTCAAACTAATTTCTTCACATTTTGTTGATAACAACGGTTGTTATAATAAATTTTTATAATACAAAATAAAAATTTTAAATTAAATTGTAATAACAGTGGCTGTCAATACAATATGAACTAATTAGTTTGAAATAAAAGATTATTATTATTAGCTTACATGATAAAAATTCAACAAATTGCTATATCGTCGATACAAGGTAACCAGATTCTGTACATCATCTACATTATCCTTTGTCTCCCAGGTATCTGAAAGAGCGTTTCAGATTTCTCTAGTCCCAGGGTAAGCCTTATCGCTCTCTCGTTAGGTCCCAGTTATCTTTTCCATCATTCAGTTCCGGTTTTTATTCTCACTCCTTTACTGTTCAGACTTTGGAACGCACTTCCCATTACTGTACATAACAGTAAATCCTAAGCTATCTTTAAAATGAGAGTCAAGAAGCAATATTTATCCTCTGTTCCATCCATTTTATAGATTTTATAATATGAAATGTGTTTGATGATTTATCTAAGTATTTATGTAGTCTGTAGTAATTTAATATTTCTGCTATTGTTTTTTTATTATTATTTTATTACATAATTTGATTTTGTTTTGTTGTGCACGTACATCCGTTATTGTAATTATTGTGTCCCGTATATTGGTCTGCAGGAAGAAATTTCTTATAGAAATAAGCAGTACTTTTTGTTTGTGTTTTTCGTTTTACTAAATGTGATTTGTGTTTTCCTGTACAATAAATAATGAAATAAATAAATAAATCATTTTCAAATGTACTGTATATAGTACACTGTATATAGTAGCAGAAATAATAATTATGCATGACTCGACTATTACCGTTCAAAGTTGGATAAACAATTGATTGTTTATCCACGAGCGTAATTTGAGTTGGGAGATAAAAACATAAATATACGAGTACAACCATTGACTTACAATTATATGGACTTCGGGTCCGCGCTAAAAAGTGTCCGCACTTGTAAGGCGCTAAAATCGTATACAGAGCGCCAAACTCCGCTTTAGTCTTCATTTGTTCTACTGACAGCGCGATACTGCGATGACATTACAATTTAAATTTCGAATAGGTTGACTTGGGACATTTTTTTCGTGGTTTTTGTATTAGACCCGTCGTCCATTTATTTGTAAGTCAATGAGTACAACCATTGGACTTGTTAAGAGCTCAAAATATTGATTGACATTTTAACAAGTCAGTCAGTCATTTCAACGCAGTTATTGGGGCCATTTTTTATGATAATGATTGTAACGTTAGATGTTAAAATAATGAATGGTATTTCAATAACGTTACAATTGAAAATTACTCAGGAACAGGGAATTAAAAATTTTGTAGAATTGGATTTACTAACTTTTCTTTATTGTTATTATTGTTTCGGTACGTCAAATATTGGAATAATAGAGTAAGGACGGGACGGGGAACGGGTTATGGGCCCAGACACGTAATATATAAAAAGTGTGGTTAAATACGGTGTAGTTAATATAAAATGGAACCGTGAGCAAAAAGAAATTTTCAACAGTTCAACGGTTATGGCACGTGGAAATTTCAAATTAAATCACTTCTTGAAGGACTGCAGGTATCATGTGTAATCGAAAACTCGCCGCCAGAAACACCGGATGCACATTGGACTAAGAAAAATCTCATCACGAAAAGTACGATCGTCGAATTTTTAGATGCTGGTTATTTAACTTCGCTCAAGACGCCATTACAGCGAAATCCAATATTGATCACCTAGATAACATCACACATCAAAAAAAGTTTGCGATCAATAGCATAAACTCCTATAATTCTTTAAATTTAACTTTATCAAGAAAAAATCTATGTTGTATGCTTTCTTTAAATAGGAATACCCTGTTTGAAATTAAAATATAAAACAATTTTTTATTATTTATTTTAAAAAATTGAGCCATTAATCATAATGTAATAGTGATAGAAATTTCATAGAAAGAAAAAGACTGTTTAATTAAACTTAAACAACAATTTATTATTAAAAGGTGTGAATTCAATATAAAATAACTCCTCCCCTGGCTCGAATACATGCGAAGATCCTCCTGGGCATGCTGAGGATCAAGTTATCCAGCATTTCCTGGGGTAACCTATCCCAGTCTTCAATAGCGGCTTCCCTGAGCTCTGGAACTGTCTGGGGACGTGGCTCACGGTTCCATACTGCTCGTTTAAGAGCATCCCACGCGTGCTCTATTGGGTTTAAGTCGGGCGAGCCGGCAGGCCAGTCTAATCGTATGATATCGTATTCTTGAAGAGCAGCATTGACTCGTTGAGCTCGATGTGCGGGCGCAATATCATCGACCAGTACAAATTGGTGCCCATGGTTTACTCGGAATGGTCTGACGATATCATCAATAGCAACTGCTTTGTACATGTCTGCTGTCATGAAGCCCCGATACGGGATCAAAGGCGTTCTAGCTCCAATCATAATGCCACCCCAAAAGGACACCGATTTTTCGCCTTGCTGAACTGTTCCAGTGGCAGTTCTTTGTCTTTCACGGTCGCCTGGTCTTCTCCAGACACGGACACGTCGGTTATCTGGATGAGTGCTGATTCGGGATTCGTCAACGAAGAGACAGTTTTGCCAAATGTTTTCGTCCTCACCTTCTTCATTTTGCCGAAGTCTAGCCCACTGCAATCTTCGTTGTTGACGTTGCCGGGAATTGAGCGGAGCTCGCCAAGACCTCCGTGCTCGTAATCCAGCCTGGTGCAAGCAATTGCGAACGGTCTGCGTGCTAACTTCAAGCCCAGAGGCGGCCCTGACTTCTGCTTTTATTTTAGTGGCGTTGATTGTTGGATCACGGGCTGCCAGCAATCTAATATAGCGCTTTTGGGCAGCTGTCAAAACAGTTGGGCGACCGCTGCGGGGTCGGTCAGCTAAATTCCCCATTCCGTGATACCTCTGCAACGTAGCCACGACACAGGATTGGGATATAGCAAGTCTGCGTGCTATTACTCTCGTGGTGTATCCTTCTTCCCTCAAAGTTACTATTCTAGCTCGTAAAACCTCTGATAATCCTCTTGGCATTTTTTCAATCACAACTTTCCGCGAAAAATATCTTGAATCGCTTATAATTGACTAAATCAGATTTCTGAATGAGCGTAAGCTAGGACTGAAAGCCTTTTTATATGAAAAAACAATTGAACGGGGTCATTGTTTTATGTTCTAATTTATTTTTAAATAAAGAATCTAAAAAGAAGAAAAAATCATAATATAATCTACAGTAACAAAATAGATTTCAGTTTTTCGAAGTGATCGCAAACTTTTTTTGATGTGTGTATATGAGAGGTGACGGTTGGCTACACAATTAGCGTTACGCAAACAATTGCTAAACCTAAAACTATAAAACTTGATGCAAGTCTTTTCCAACATTAAATGACTGGAAATACTGTTAGACAGTGAATGGTACCCCTTAGATTGTCAATGGTTCAATATCTATATTCTTTATGAACGTTAATCCGTTCACTCTCTTGCTCACTTCCTCTTCTCTCAGCCGGACTGCCACGTTTATCACGCGTAATATAACTCCAGATTTACTTATATTAATAATTGTGATCAGTTTAGATTATTTACTTAACTTACTATGGACTATGTTTGGTGAGCATTTGTGTGAAACAAATCCCAATAAACAAATTTGCAGCAAGGCGCTATTTAATTTCAGCACACATTCCCTGCACGGTCACGTCTCGATAACTTCCACAGTTCTTGGCCTTCTTGGCCCAAGTTCTTTTAACAAATACTCTCTGAGATTGAAAATGTCGTAGTGCTATTTCCACACAATGCCTTATGGAAATCTGCAATACAATAATATATTATAAGTTTTGAATCGTTTCATCAAGGTGATAAATAATCTGTTACATTAAACCGACCATTTATGTAATAAACTGAGGAAAAGCAGACTTATTCATTTTAGAATATTGAATTATTATTTTTGAGTGTTGAATAATGATTCATTTTGTTCAAACCCATTTTGCTGTTGGAATAGTTCATGTACTGTATGGCAGCTGTTGTGTTTCCGATAATAGTATTGTAGACAATTGCTGGCTATATAAAGAATCGGTCTTATACTGCGGCGTTGGCTTGGAGCTGTAATGTATTAGAGTTGGCGTCGAGCTGTTATTACGGACATAATACATAGTTGGTGGGTGTTGATTAATTTTCCAATTACCGGAAACAGTCGAGGAATAGGAAATCATTTCCAAAGATTTGGAATGCAATGTTTCTTATGTGCTTGGTACTTTAAAGGGCAAGCACGTGGAAATAAATAAACCTCGTGGTTCGGGATCATATATTATTTCAACTACAAAAGAACGCGCAGTATTTACGTTAATGGCGGTTATAAATGCTAACTATGAATTCATTAAGGTTGATATCAACACGAACGTTCGTGTACCAAGTGGAGGTCTAAGAGGTGCAGAATTCAACATTTGGAAATAAATTAAAAAATAACGCATTAAATATCCCACATCTTGCGGTTTTTCCTTTTACGTTCCGAAATACTCTCATGGTTTCTATACGCTTCTTCAATGCAGCAAAATTTGTTAATTATATAGTCAAACAAAAGAAACACGAAATATACATCGTTTATGGCGTGCTAAATACGAACAAAAACCATAATATAACAATAATGAAAGTTTTTAAGCTATACAAAATCACCAGGTAATGGTTCCTAACCGAATTGAAATTTCGATGTTAACTTACTGGAAATGCATCCACGCGGTCACGCTAGTTAAAGTGGTGTAAAACAAATAAGCGAGTTTAACTTCTTAAAGCAGAGTACGAACAGTTTAATCATCTTAATACAACCAAATTGACCAAATATAACGAGCATTATGTTTTTAAATAACGCTATACAATCTTAGACGCATTTATATACCCAAACTCAATAAAACTATCGACAAGCTCTTCTAATCTTGTTTTAAACTTTTTTATCGTTGCAGGATCTGAAGTTGAAAGTTTTGTTTGTTCAATCATCCCATCCATATATTTATTAGGATCGTCGTTATTCATTGCTTTCTTAAGTTCAGTCGCATTTCCTGCCTCTCTGAACACTAGGCCAGCCATTACAATAGCATGCCCAAGAGAGAACTTGGCAAACAGTTTTAAGTCTGCTTCGAGTTGATATCTAGGATAAACTTCCTCGGTCTTTAATTCGAACTTGGCCAATCTTTTATCCAATTGCAAGTAATAATAATCGATCCAGTCATAAAAATGCTTCGCTCTTGTAGCGTAGTCAGTGCAATTGAAGATCAGACAATGAAGGTCAGCGACGGGACTACTCCGTTTAGATAGTTGATAATCGATCATACAGCACTCAACTGCTCTGTCATCCTAAAATTGATTAAAAAATAATACGATTAATTTATTTCGTAAGTATCCAATTCTATTCAGCGTTGTAGAATCACTAAATATTCTAAATAAAAAAGACCATTAGTACTTGTATAATGACATGATCGTCTTATTATAAATGTATTAACCGAAGTTATATTTTCTTCTAATGCTTATTCAGTCAATATATTCTTACCTCAAGTCTGAACATAATGTTATTGGTCCACGAATCTCCTTGCTGAATTACGGAGAATTTCGAACTGGAATACGTTTTGGCTAGTTCCGATGCACGTAAAATCACCTGACCTATTGTGTTTTTAATTGCATTCTTGTATTTGTCGTCGTCTATTAATGTTTGCACATCGACCTCAAGTTTCTCAAAATAATCAATCATTTCGGGAACGCCGGCCATGAGTACCCATGTGTTAACAAGTCTCTGACAAAACTTTTCAAACGTTTCTCTTTGTTCATATTTCAAAGCATATGATAAAGAATGTAGCATAGCGAAATTTTTGAGAACCAGTTTCACAGCTTCATCTGACAATGAGGTGACCTTATCAAGCATCTTGTATCCAGGTACTTCTAAATCTTCCAGAAGAATCATTTCATTCGGTGCTTCTAAATATGTTCCATAGCAAGTTGCGTATCTTAGTCTTTCCTCCTTTGGAATATTTGCAGCTTTTTCTAATTCAGTAAACTTAGGTAACACTTCAGTGTACATAACATGCTCGTTTTTGAAAAAGATAACAGTATTTGCCATAACTCGTAACATTTCCGTTTTTGGAGCGATTTTAGCAATAATTTTGAAGGTTTTATCATCCTTTTCTCCGATGATTCTTTTCACGTTAGCTCCAAAGTTATCTCCTTCACTGCCCACTGGCTGTACCTTAATTTTTATATCTTTGAATTCGTGCTCCTTAAACACATTGGCAATTAATTCTCTCTGTTCAACACTTAAGTCACTCATGTGACTGTCAAACTCAAATTCAGTCATTGTAAGTGTTGATAAGAAGGATATTGTGCAGCTTCAAACAACAATTATTTGAATATTGTTGTAAGCAGTGACTTATATGTAAAATTGTTATCTAATACTTTGATATGAAATTATCGTCTATGATAACTTGCCACTGATAAGATAGCTATGCTGATTGCGATCATGAAACGGCGCGTTTTTTCTACATCTGGAACAATATAATAATTACTATACATTATGTTTTATATTTTTAGCTCCTGACAATTTGATACGCTTTATTTTAATAAAATGTATATAGAGGATGTTATTATGAGGTATAAGAAAGAAGCTTCTCCTCACAACGTACCGTTTCTTTTCTATAAGTCTGGTTTACCCTGGGTAACAAGCAGCGAATACCTTAAGCCGATTGGCAAATACTTTCACCGCGATAAAAACTGGTTTTAATAAAAAATTAAGCAATTTTAAACATAGCAAAACTCAAAGACGCAATTACCAAACCAGAACAAATACTAGCTCTGTCCCTTAATAAAGAGCAAAAACTAATTTTCCCCGTGCTATTTTATACCTTAGGAATATTTTATTATATTACACATTACAAAACAGTTTGAATACCCGATCGTTCGCGCACTAAACCATTCACTCTTTCGTTAATGAGATGGACAATAGGTTTAACATTTTATATTTGAATTTAATATTTTGTGTAACCGTTGGATTGTCGGAATAATTAAACAGTGCATAGTAAGTTACTGGGGTTGGCTTATGATTTAGTATTTAGACGTTTCTAGTGTTTTTCTTCTTATTCAGACTTCAATCACCCACTGCTGAATGTGAGTCATTTGCACGCCATTATCTCCGGTCACGGGCTATTTGCATCCAGGTTTTTCGGGTTACTTTGACTATATCTTCCGTCCATCTAGTCCTTGACTTTTATTATATAAATTTTCCAGGTATGGTGTTTAAACGACGAATAACAAAAAATAAACGTTACGAATGGCGACATAGAAAATAACAGGCTCCATAAACATTTATTCGTTATAATCAATCGTCGATCAATTCAGTTTTTTTTCTATTTTGCCTCCATCTACATATATGGGAAGAAGACAGGCATCTGTGTGTGATTCAAGGAAAAGTAACAATTGTTGAATGACCAAACAAACTAAAAAAAAAATGCGCTGAACATCGTGATGAAACTTAAGAAAAGTCTATGTTCGACATTGGCAGTTAAGACAAATAACTTGAAAAAAATTGAGTAATACAATCAAAAAACAAAACATATTGTTGTTTGATTTTAATATTCAAACAAAAAAAAATTATGTTTGTAAGAAATTTTGAAGATGTATAAAACATTGGACTGATTTTTGATTTGTTCCGTTTTATCTAGTACCAACATTTAATATATCTCAATACTACCAAATTCACCAAATAAAAGTAGCAAACCTCGTTTTAAATGACACTTAATTAATATTAGATAGATACCCGAACTCTATAAAACTATCGATCACTTGTTCTAACCTTGCTTTCAATTTATTTACCGTTGCAGAACGTGAAACTGTAAATTTGTTTTTATCGGCCGTGTCATCTTTATATTTATTAGGCTCTTTGTCATTTGTCGCTTCCACAAGATCACCAGTATCTGCTGTTTCTCTAAACACTAGTGCAGCCAACATGATAGCATGGCCAAGAGAGAACTCAGCAAACATTTTTAAATCTGCTTCGAGTTGGTACTTAGGATAAACTTCATCGGTCTTTAGTTCGAACTTAGCCAATCTTTTATCCAATTCCGAGTAATAATAATCGATCCAGTCGTGGAAATGCTTCATTCTTGTGGCGTGATCGGTGCAATTGAAGATCATGTAATGAAGATCAGCGACGGGACTACTCTGTTTTGATAATTGGTAGTCGATCATACAGCACTCCACTGCTTTGTCATCCTAAAATTGATAAAGAAATAATACAATTAATTTATTTAGTAAGTACTTCTTTGTTTTCAGCGTCGTTGAAGTATTATTAAATATTCTAAAAAACTCATGTGTGCTTATGTAACGGCACGATCACCTTATTATGGAAATATGTAAAATAAACTATTAATTAATTTACTGTTTATTCTATTAATACATCCTTACCGTAAGTTTGAACATAATGTTATTGCTCCATGAATCTCCTTGTTGAATTACGGAAAACTTCGAACTGGAATCTATTTTGGCTAGTTCCTGAGCACGTGAAATCACCTGAACCGTTGCGTTTTTAACTGCATTCTTGTATCTGTTGTCATCCATTAATATATGCACTTCGGCATTAAGTTTTTCAAAATAATCAGTCATTTCAGAAACTTCGCCTAAGACTTCCCATATATTGACAAGTTCCTTACAAAACATTTCAAACGCATGTCTTTGTTGGTATTTCAAAGCATAAGACAGTGAATGTAACATAGCAAAATTTTTGAGAACCAGTTTCACAGTTTCATCTGACAATGGAGTGAACTTATTAAGCATCTTGAATCCAGTTACTTCTAAATCTTCTAGAAGAATAATTTAATTGGGTGCTTTTAAGTATGTCCCATAGCAAGTAGCGTATCTCAGTCTTTCCTCTTCTGAAACGTTTACCGTTTTTTCTAATTCAGTAAACTTAGGTAACACTTTGGTGTACATGACATGCTCATTTTGGAAATAAGTAGCTGTTTTTCTAATAGTTCGCAATTCTTCATTTTTTGGAGCCACTTTACCAATTATCTTAAAAGTTTCACCATCCTTAGTTACGATCATTCTTTTTACGTTTGCTACAAAATTATCTCCTTCTTTGCCCACTGGTTGTACTTCAATTTTTACGTTTTTGAAACCTTGCACTTTGAATACATCAGCAATTAATTCTCTTTGTTCAACACTTAAGTCATTTATGTCACCATCAAACTGATATTCATTCATCGTAAGCGTTCAGAAGTTATTTCTCCTTGCTACTTACTATATCAGACACGACTGACACAGCAAATTACTTTTTTATATATAGATTCTGTGATTACTCGTTACAGATAAGATATCAGTCTACACAAACTGGTGTTGGTTTATAAACAGGTTAATTTATGTTACACAAAGTCATTATTATACAACTTAGAAAGATATAAAATCTAATACATACCTTAAAAAATACAGATAAATAGAGATGGAGCAGGTATATTTAGCGATATAAATAATTTCATGTTTTGCTGTTTATAGTTTGGCATATAAAATGATACTAGTCAATTAAATACAAGTTTTTGTAATTTTTTTAATTTTAAATTTAATTCACTTTTCTATTTCATTTGTATATTATTATTTTATTAAGGAAGTATTTAGAGTGCGTGGTAATAATGGTTTAAGAAACTTAATTAAGTGGAGTATCGATAGGTAACTTTTTGGAAATCCTACGAAAAATGTGCAGATATCGAGTTAGTAAATAATATGTACATATAGTCTCGCTCGAGATATTCTCAATGAAAGTCGTTTCAAAGTAAATCCCGCAACTTTGGAATTACTTTACATACCTATATGTGTATATAATAAATTGTAATAAATTCATTGAATTTCCAAACATAATTTAGGTTTGTACGTGTACTTCTTGGATGTGAAGTTTGAACAAACAGAACAATCGAGTCAGATTAGAAACAAATCAGAATCGACATTAAAGTCAATATCAATTAAATAAATGCATTATAGTTTCTTACACGTGTACTAGATGGCACCTGTGCGCATGCATTTCTGTGACCTTTGTTTTTATTTTATATTCTTTATTGCACCAAATAACCAACCCAGGACAGTGAGAGCTAAGGTTATAAGCTGGCAATATCGTGCAAGAGAGAATGAGAAATAAATATAATAATCTTAAATAAAAAAAATACCATTACTTATGTGTATAAGTATTATAATGAATCATTATAAACAGCATCAATATGTAAACATAGGTACATATATGTACATATACATGAATAAGTATATAAAAAAACAATAGATAATTACAAAGAGAGTTCAGCAAGAATGTGCGCTTTTCTATATTCCAGACATAAGGAAACAATTACAACGCCGGTCGTAACTATCTCGAGATTGTACAGTACTTCATAATCTTTCTAGTTTAAACTTTTAATGACCTAATACTGCTTGTTCACTTTGACAAAAGAGCAGATGGACATAATATGAAAGTACAAATTTATGAAGGATGTAAAAAATTAATTTTTGAATTGCAAAGGGAATATAAGCGTTATAGTTTACAATTTTATATATTTGAATGAAATCTTATTTAAATCACCACAAGTCCGCTATTTCACTACTTATTTCGAACTATTATGCACGCTTAACACCACAACACGGTCAGCCTTATAACCACTTCTAACTAACGTCAAGTGAGTGACCGTGAAGTGAAGGCCGAAGTACCTACTGATTCAATATGCATTCATTCTTTGTACACAGTCATACACTTTATACCACAGTCACTCAGAAGATGGCGTGTAGAGTCGATCGTTGTACCATATCTATGGAGTTCCGGCGTCCGTCACTAGATGACGCACTCAGTAATTAAATCGTGATTATTTATTTCTCGACCTCGTCGCGTCGCATGATTTTTTACGTAGTTAAGATCATAATCATAATCATAATCATAATATTGATTAAATTCTACAACTCATTCATAGCCACAAAACTACCACGATATCTATGGGGCCATGCCGTGTTGACAGCCACCTATCAGATTAACCGTTGCCCATCAACCGCTATAAGTTTTCAAATACCAGCAAGGAGATTTAAGAGACTATCAGTTAAATAAATCACGAATTTTCGGAAGTAAAGGCTGGATGGTTAATTTATCTAAACAAGACAAACAAGACGCGAGAGCAATACCTGTAAGAATGGTTGTTTATGCAACGAATGGATGTACAGTACGGGATCTGATAACATCCAAAGTGATGACAACACAATATATACGATTTGATAAGTCTGATGTTAATATGTTGAGAAAAATGACAGTAAAATTACAATACATTAAAAGAAAAATAAAAATAAAGAAGAAAATACAAGCAATGGTTTGACATCATCAAAATCATCATGTTCTGTTTCCGCCTCCTCTGCAAGCCGTTCTGATTCTTCGTAACTCATGTTGTGTCTAAACAAATAGTGAATTAATAAATCATTTAATATATATTATATAAAATAATGTAATTTTGTAAGTAATATAGTACAAATAACATGAAATACTCACCCAGGTTTCAATTTCATTCCATAATTTTTTCTGGATCACGACCGGTCGCGCGCGGAATCTGAGACCGCATACACAAATAAAGACACATGTGCTCTGGCGAAGAATGTCACAGGGCCACTAAGGGGAAGTACTTCACCCCCTCGAGGATATCACGGTCGCGCAACCGTTTAATGTTTATAGTTTTGGTAAAATGACAAAAATAAGGTCGCTGCGGTCTCTGAGACCGCGCGCGACCGTTGGGGGGCTAAAGAAGAAAATACTATAAAAGAAAACGAAAATGAAGGATAAAATACCGTAAAAGAAAACGAAAATAAAGAAGAAAATACCGTAAAAGAAAACGAAAATCACGAAGAAAATACTGTGGAAAACACACAGATAGTTAGAGTATATACAAGAACTAGAAGATAAGTTGATAAACCTAAACACCTAAATGACTAGAAATTATATGAAACCTACTGCTTAGTCATGAATGATGAAGACCCACAAGACTATGATGAAGCATTGAAGAAAGGGTGGGATGAAGCAATTAAAATGGAATTAGAATCTCTAAACAAAATGAATACCTAGACTGAAACAAATTTACCAGAAAATAGAAAGGCAATTGATACTAAAGAGGTATTTAAAACAAAAGAAAATGATTTAGAAAAGGCAAGACTAGTAGCTAAAGGATTTCAAATTAAACCAAATGAAGATTTTGGGAAGAACTATGCGGCGGTAGCAAGAATATCCACAGTGAGAACAGTATTAGCTAATGCGATACAAAATGATTGGTCAATAAGACAACTTGATGTACCTACAGCTTTCTTAAATGGAACTATTGATAATGAGATATACATAAATCCTCCAGATGGAGTGAAGACAGAGACAAATAAAGTTCTGAAACTGAATAGAGGACTCCATGGACTGCGAGAAAGTCCGAAATGTTGGAATGAGAGATTAGACTTATGTTGAAGAGAGATGATTTGTAAGATCTCAACATGATTTTTGTTTATATATGTGTAACAAGATCAATGTATGGATGATAATGTATGTAGATGACATAATTTTGAATGGACAATAAAGCAGTATTGAAAAAGTAATGGAATATCTGAAAAGAGAATTTCATGTAAAGGATTTTGGATTCCCCAACTTGTTTCTTGGAATGGAAATAGAGAAGAACGAAAATTATTTAAAGATAACACAAAAGAAACAAATTGAGAAAATATTACTTAAATTTAAAATGACAGATTGTAAAGCAAGTAACCTCCTGTCACTAAAGGTTTTCAAATTAATGAGAATGAAGAAACAATAAAGGATATGCGTTACAGACCGATTGGTAGCCTTATTAGGACCAGCCATAGTCTACTCAGTGTCATACTTAAGTCAGTACTTGGATAAACCTACAAAGAGTCTTTGAACACAAAGAAAAATAATAGTAAGATATTGAAAAGGAACTCAAGACACAGGACTTATGTTTAAAAAAAACTGAAAACAATTATATTGAAACATTTTCCTACTCAGACGGAGCTGGATATCATACTGACAGAAAATGTGTTTCCGGTTCTGTGACATTATGCAATGACTGTGTGGTATCATGGTTCTCTTGAAAGCTTACCTGTATAGCACTCTGTACAGTGGAAGCAGAATATGTAGCAGCTGCTTCTAGTGCTTGTGACCTATTGTACTTAAAGATACTCTTAAGTGACTTAAATGGACAATACAGTGATTGAAAGTGTGCGTTATACATGGACAATATAGGTGCTATATATTTAACCAAACCTTTAAAGAACAGTAAACGGGCAAAACATTATATATTAAAAAACATTTTATAAAAGACTTAATTGTGAAAAAGGTATTTAAAGTGGAGTAAATTCCTACTAACGATAACTTGGGTGATCTATTTACTAAAAGTTTCTGCTGCGATAAAATTGATTATATCAAAAAAAGTTAAATATTACTTAATTGTTCTATGCAAATGTTATGTTACTTGAATTATAATTAGTAACAATATCTTAAGATAAGTTCATTTAGTGTCGAAACGTTTTCTGTTCAAATTTAATTAGTAATTAAGTTACAAACTGTCAATCCAGGAGGGGTGTTGAATTTGAATATTTAACTTAGTTGGTGTCTAATTGTATAATATCATACGTGTTACAGTGTATGTGTGAGTATTATCTATGATGTTAGCTCTAGGCTTTTAATTTATGGTTCCCCCGTTTGATATCTGAGATTGCGTCACCTATTGTGTTTATTCACTATGTAAAATTTAAAAACCTTTTAATAAGAATAACAAAGTCTGTACAAGTGTAGTTTCATATCGGCCCTCTGGTAATTCATAATTCAACACCGCCCTCTCTCCCTTACCTCAAAAACCGTCATCGTAAGTTCAAAAGCGTATTTCTACAAAATATTCAATTTTGTTTATTTTAATAAAAGAAATAGTGCGTTAAAAGCATCGATCTACCTTAAAAGGTTTTGAATAATTAAAAATAGATGTGTTTAATAGTAAAAAGAACTCTAATTTAAAACAAAAAATATCACTGATTGAAAACAAAGTTCACACTTTACCCGTTAATAATTTACCATTACATTACATAAAATTAAATTACATTACAATACTTTTACAAGATTGGTATAAATATTAAACATGATAACATTGAGTTTACTATTTAAATAAAAGCATTTCAGCAGAATATTTCGCATAGCTTGTACATTGTATTCT